GCGCGGGGGGAGCGGCGGGGGGAGAGTGCCTGCGTGTGTGTGTGTATGTGTATGGGGGGGGGGGGGGGGGGGGGGAGCCCCGTCCGCCCCTTATAAGAGACACAATCCCCAGCCACTTTTTTGCAAAAGGGGCTTTGCAAAGCAGGCTGCGCACACGCGAGCGACACGAGCCTCCCCGCGGCCGCCGCACGGAGGGCGAGAGGGAGGGGGGCGGGCAGAGCCATCCCCGCCGGGCTCCGCCGCCCGCTCCCGCCGGCCGCCGCTGCGCCTTCCCCCGCCGCCTGTTCTGTTATTTTTTTTATATATTTTTTTAATATAAATAATTCCTTTTCCTCCTTTGAATTTTTCCCGGCCGTGGGAGCACGGGGACCGGCCGCCGCTCGGTCGCCCCCGCGCCCATGGCCAGCGGCAGCCCCGCTAGGATGGCCAGCGGCGCCGGGCAGCCGCCCTTCCTGCAGCCGGCCTGCTTCTTCGCCGCGGCGGTAGCCGCCGCCGCCGCCGCCTCCGCCGCCCCGCCGGGGCCGCCCCCGGGGGCACCGCCACCGCCGCCGCCGCAGCTGAGCCCGGCGGGCGGGCAGCCGTCGCCGGGCGGGAAGCCGTCGGCGCCGCGAGCCGCCAAGCGGCAGCGCTCGGCCTCGCCGGAGTTGATGCGCTGCAAGCGGCGGCTCAACTTCAGCGGGTTCGGGTACAGCCTGCCGCAGCAGCAGCCGGCGGCCGTGGCGCGGCGCAACGAGCGGGAGCGCAACCGCGTGAAGCTAGTGAACCTGGGCTTCGCCACGCTGCGGGAGCACGTCCCCAACGGCGCCGCCAACAAGAAGATGAGCAAAGTGGAGACGCTCCGCTCCGCCGTCGAGTACATCCGCGCCCTGCAGCAGCTGCTCGACGAGCACGACGCCGTCAGCGCCGCCTTCCAGGCCGGCGTCCTCTCACCCACCATCTCGCCCAGCTACTCCCACGACATGAACTCCATGGCGGGCTCCCCCGTCTCCTCCTACTCCTCCGACGAGGGCTCCTACGACCCGCTCAGCCCCGAGGAGCAGGAGCTGCTCGACTTCACCAGCTGGTTCTGAAACGCGGCAGGTGGGTCCGCTCCCCGGGAGGGACGGGGGAGGCCAGGGGAACGGGGAGGACGCGGGGAGATACGGGGGATGCACCTGCCGGGCAGGGTGGAGGGATGCCCGGTACTTACAAGCGGCTTCGGCAGCCCGGCGCTGCGCTGGTCCCGGCGCGGCTCTGACCTCCTCTCTTTTTTGTTGTTACAGGACAGTTGCAAAAGGGAAAAAACCCCGATATATATTACACAGAGAAAGACAGAAATCCACCCAGAGAAAGAACCTGTTGCATTTTCCTCTTCCCCACCGTCGGAGGGCGGTGCGGGCACGTCTCTCGCTCGGCGGGCGGGCACAACCGGGTCGGGGTGGCTGCTCTGCCCCGGTCCCCGGGCACCGGCCGGGCTTTAGCCATGGGCTGCGCCCCGGTGGAGAGGGGGTCCCGTGGGGGAGCCGGGTGGCGGGGACGGTCGCTGCTCTCCTCGGCCGGCGGAGGAGCTCTGCCACTCCCGCAAAGGGGGGGAACTCCCCCTCCGCGCCCGGCCGCGGCCCTGCAGAGACCGGCGCTCATCACTCTGTGGACAAAGTTAGTTCCCCAATGTTTGTGGAGGTGTTGAAATTAAGCTATGCTGTACTCAAAGAAGCCCTGTGCGCCCCCGACCCCACCCCCCCTCCCCGTTCTCCGCACCTCTCCTTCCCCTCTCTCCGACCTTTCCCTCTCGTTTCCATCATAGAATGCTTCCAATCTTTTTTTCTTTTTTTTTTTTTGTGAATTTTTTTATTATAAGAAAATCTATTTGTATCTATCCTAACCCGTTTGGGGATATATTAAGCTATTTTTGTACATAAGAGAGAGAGAGATTTATAGAGGTTTTGTACAAATGGTTTAAAATGTGTATATCTTGATACTTTTTTTAATATGTAATGCTTATTACCTCTTCATGTTTAGACTTGTAGTTGACGTTACCTTACAACTGGCATTTTTTGTATGTGGTTTTGTAAAGGACTTGGATTTCCTCCAGATGTACTTTAGCACCAACGTGTCTTACTTTATAGAAACTTTGTTAATGTATTAATAATGTTATTAAACAATGTTCAAAGTGAACAAAGTTTATGCAGCTATTGTCCAAACGCAAAATGGTAGCCATTTGTTTGTATATGCTGCCTTTTGGGAAAAAAAAAAAAAAATACACAAACGACCCCTATGCCACTGCCTTTTCTTACTGTTTTATTACAAACTGACAAAGGTCCTGTATAACCCTGTTTTATACAAACTAGTTTCGTAATAAAACTTTTTTTAATGAAAATGATCGGCTGCCTGCTGCATGCAATTTTTACTTATTTCTTTCTGCCATTGACAACGATGAATGTAAGGACAAAATGTCCAGTGATGTTGTGCCAGAGCTAAGTTGCGTATGAAGTGCTTGTATCTGATGGATGTAACATATATTTATATATATATATATCTTCATATAAATATGCAAAGATCCAGCGGTATCACCATTGTTTTCTTGCCCTTCTGTGTTGCAAATGCTGTACCCAAAGCAAAAGGCGAGGAGGTGATTAATGATTGTATTGTCCCTCCTGAAATCACTGCACATTAAAGAATTCCACCCCCCCCCAAAAAAAAACCAGGTCCCAAAAAAAAAGAGGGCGCTCCATCCCGCAATTCGGCAGCGTGCCCCCGTCCTCCGCGGCTCGGAACCCACAGGGCAGAAAAACACGGGGGGGAAGGAAGGTACGCGGGAGGGAGGAAGGCACAAGGGCCACCGTGGTGCCTCGGCAAAGAGAGTGGCCGGGTAAATAAATCCGTCGGGGGATGGGGGGAGGGGGGGAATGATGGGAAGCGAGAAGCGAAGTGGAATGAAATGAAATAAATAAATAAAGTAGTAGAACTGGGTGGCAGCTTAGAGACACTGGTCTTTCTAAGCTTGTTATTCTACTCAAATAGCGTGATCTGCCTGTAAAAGTACCCAATTACCAAGACTCAAAAAAGAAATTGGACTCTCCTCCTCTCTCTCTCCCCCCCCCCCCCCCCCTTTTTTTTTTTTTTTTTTGGCTAGCCTGCTTGTTGTCAGTTAGCAAGGACGTGACCAGAATTCTCCTTCTCCTTTTCGCCTGGCCCCTGCATCACTTGCAAATTCAGTTTGCGTGCACTAAGCCAAGCGGAAAGCAAAGCGCAAAATGCATCTTAAAAAAGAGAGAGAGAGAAAAAACCCCAACAAAGAGCGGGGAGAACCAGTGTGTTGCACGGAGTTAAAAAAAACCCAGCCCGCTCAGCTCCAAATGGGCCGTCGGGTTGCGAGGGATGCGCTATTTCTAAAAAGAAAAACAGGAGGGAAAAACTTTGGAGCACCCCGGGATCTTGCCGGTGTGTACGTACGTGCAGCTATATGTGTGCACACACGCATAAGCAGCCGTGGCCATACATACGTGTGCATATCAATGCACAGGTCCTTTCTGAGTTGCTTTAAAAATAGACACACTTTTGCCCCTTCGCCTCCTCCCCCCGCGCCCTGAAATGATCAAATGATCAATATGTGATTTAATGCGGGGTGTGGGGGGGGGGTGGGGGTGGGGGGGGGTGTAGGGGACGACGACGACCGGGAGACGCACAGGGGACGGGACACGCTGGGGTCACGAAATCCCTCATTACTTCGGCAGCACAAACACTCATTGTTTTAACCTCTAGTGGAACTAATGTTTAGTTATGAAAATAATAACCGTTATGTGCCTCCGTCCGCTCTCCCTTTTACAGCATCTCCCTTTTTTATTTACCCACTTTTGCAAGTGCGCAGATAAGGTATGCAAAAGAAAAGTGCAGCCAGTAATTTATAGCTATGAATATAACATTAGGATAATGTTTCATTCTGTTACAAAGGCGAAATTTCTCTTCCTTGTGTAGACAGGTGTTCTTTTTTGCTCACTGCTGAATAGTAAATATCCAGACTCATTAAACTAAAGGCAAAGTTACGCTGTTGTTCGCTACAATGTATAAGGCAGGCTCAGAAATTCACCACCTCCTCCCTCCCTCTTCCCTTCAGCCCCCTCCCGAAAGAAAGGAAGAAAGAAAACACACACACACAGACACACACTCGCACAATTTTCCTGAAGATAGGGAAAGGGCAAAGCAGGATTGGGGTAAATCTCATTACATCTGCTCTAATCGCTTAGCAACACAAAGCCTTTTCTTGTATGAGCGCGGAGAGCCTTTCAGCGCGCCCTGACAGACAGTATTCAGTCAGCATTAGTAAACTCCATAAATCAGGGACTTCTTTGGGCGCAGGATAAGTTTTAGAGCTACTCAGGGATAGGGGGGTGGGGGGTGGGAGGGAGGCGGGACAAGCGGGAGGGGGGTGCAGATGGAGGTTACTGGGCCACGGATTTATTAATTTGTTTACCTATTATGTATTTATCGTAATGCTGGAAAAGCGTCCCGTTAACAAGCGCCTCTTCCCCAGTGTCCGTGTCTCCCCCTCCAGCTCCCAAATCAAGGCCCTCTGGCAGCGATGGGAAAGCACTGCTAGACCCCCACCACGGCGGCGTTTGGCCGCGGAGGTGAGCAGCGCTGCCCACCCTACCCCAAACCCCAGTCGGGGGACGGGACCGTCCCCTCGGCGTGAGTTTTTACCCTCTCCCCCATGCCCGCTCCAGCCGCTGACCCTCCCCACGGGACCCTCCGATGACCAAACTTCGTTCCAGCGAGTGGGACCAGCGCTGGCTCGGCGAAGCCGCCGCTCCCCACAACCCTCCGCGCTCAGGTGAGAGCGGCGGGGGTACCCCGGAGATCATCCCTGGGGAGAGACGCCCAGCCCCGCGACACCGTTTTTTTCCCCTGCTTAAAAACTTTTTTTCTCTCTTTTTCCTTTATTTTGATTTTTATTAGGATTTCATTCCTTTTTGTGTGTGTCTGTTCTGCCCTTTCCCCCGCTGTCCCCCCGCGGCGCAGGTCCTGCCTTCTGCGTGCGGGCTCCCGGGGGCACCTGGGGGTTGCGGCAGGGGGGCCGGGCAGGCAGCGGGCAGCGCTGCGTCCGCGCGTGTCACGCCTCAGCCTTTATCCCGGTGGCGGCGGCGCGGCGGGGGCCGGCGGGGGTGGGGGGGGCTGCGTGAGCACCGCTCCGCCCCTCTCCGCGCCCGCGCTTCCCTCCGCACCGGGGCGGGCAGCACGCGAGAAGAGCGGGCACCTGCCCAAGGCGAGGCGGCGCGGCCACGGCCGGGGGATCAGGGCAGCCCCGTAATGCAGCGCCTGTTACTCAGTGTATTCAGGGATTAGCTCGTCTCGAAGTGTAGGGGGGACTCTGGGTCTCCCCTCCTGGAGAGGAGAGCGGGGAGAAGCCCCCCCTCCACACCCCTCCGGACTCCACCCCGGTCCGTCCTGGGGCACAGCAACTTCTTGCTCCCAAGCCAGCTCGCTTTTAGCGTGTCAGCGCGCACAATGCAGGGCTAATTCCTGCTGCAAAAGGCAAGTGGTGAGGAATCAATCGCAGGCTTTATGCAATCAAAAGGGATGATGGGTTTGGGGTTGGGATTTTTATTTTTTTTTTTTTTTTTTTTAAATTCCCTGCCCCAGACTGAATTTTTCCTGCTCCTTACTCCAGTCCTATTAATAATCCCATGCAGGCGATTGCAGACCGAGGTAAAGCTATCATTTGTATGCGCCTGAAGATTAATTTCCCCCATGTACCAACTCAACGGCATAGTTATCTCTTTAACAGGGAAAACAGTTTGGCTCCATTGTCGGGTTGCCAAGACCGCCTTTTGAGAAAGGGAACCCGGCTAGCCTCTGATCAAACTCAAAGGTTAGTTAAAAGACAAAAACAGCTGAAAATCTTCATGAATAATGCTGTTTCCCCGAGCCCAGTGTAGTGCAAACGCACATTTCAATGCCAGAGCATTTTGTTATGCTGCTCGCCTAAGTCAGAATTTCACAGAAAAGGCAGAGAAGAAAAGCTCCAACAATTAGAGGGGGCCTGTCAGAAAACATTAACGCCTTCCTCGCCCAGCCTGTCAAGCGTGCTGGAAATAAAAAACTGGCATAGCGAATCGCACCTCCACCCTCCTGAGCTAAGGGAGGGGAGAGGGAGGGGGGTTTAGGACGGAGAAGTAGAGAGAGAGGGAGACAAATGGACAGGCCCAGGCAGTTAACAGTCCCCCTCGGCTTTGCAGTTCACCCAAAAGCTGGAAAAAAAAAAAAGAAGGGAAAAGGACCTGCAGCTGGATGTTCTCTCTTGATACTCATCCATTTCTTTCATGCTCCTGAATGAAAGGACCACCACACACACTCACGCCGTCTCTCTGCATCTTCAACCTTTTCCTGCATTAGTTCTGCAAAGCACACCTGAGGTGCTCAGTGAAACAGCAGCATGGCAGAGCTGTTACCAGCCTTTGCTTTCTGCTTCCTCCAAAGTACCACTTCTAAGTTTCCCCATCTGTGGCCGTGCAGATGTCTGGTGTGGCTGACCTACAACCAGGCTGAAAGACCTCATGTCAGAGGAGCTGTGCTCATGTATAGCAGCAGAGGTATCTGTTCTTTAGATTGTGTAGGAACACTCATTTCAATGTACAGCTTTAAATACCTGTACCTATTACCTACATGCTCGAGTCTTTTTCCTTAGTGAAATACCTGCTGTCAAGGACACCAAACTATTTAAATCCTCCCTTGTGCTACCTGTAAGTGAACATCTAGGCTTTGACTTTCCCTGGCTAAAACACAGATTTTTCCAAAGCATTTAAATTATAAGAGAGATCTGCTCCTTCTCTTACTGTAAGTAAAACCTCAGTTAACCACTTAATCATCACTTCTCTCTCTTATTTTTTTTTTTTCCTTGTTGCCACTGCTGTCCCATTGCAAATGCATGTATATGTTAATATCTGGTAAAGACCAAATTAGTACTTCCATAGCCAGCCTTTTGCTGGCGGAGGTGGGAAGGAAGAGCAGGGAAGAATACTGCTGTGTCTTGTAGTGTTCAATTGTGGGTTGAAAAACTAAAATTTCAGCAAACTATGAAGTGACTGAAGAAAAGGAGTATATCCAAGCTTCATCTGAGGTGTTCTAGGGTGTTATATCAGAAAAGGGACACAGTGTCACAGTTCAGACAGCATGTGAAAGAAAGACAAGTCAGGCTTTGCCTTTGGTTGGAGAGCTGTGTAATTCCTACATGTCCTATGTGGAAGAAGCTCTGGCCTGGGGGACAGGATCCCCAGCCCTCCATCCCATGAACACCCTGGAGCAGCACAGTGCAGCCAGTCAATATGGTGCTTGCTGTCCCCTTCAGAGAAGGCAGGCATTTACAGCGGCTTTTGAGCCTGCTGTGTCCGCAGAATGATGTAAGCAGAGGAAGTGACCCACTGAGCACTGGTTCTTACATTGGCTCTGACATGTTAGTCCTGGGCAAACACAAACAACTGGTAGGAGAGAGGAGAAGTTTCATGAGGTCCCTTTTCTTTCTCTGTCTGGCTATCTGGTACTTACGGTACTAATTGCAGAGGGAGAGGTTGGGTAAAAATGCAGGGAAGGACAGGTAAAGGAAAAATTGTTTTTATTGAGGAGGCATTGATCTTGTACTGAAGCTGTCTAGATTCATTGCTGGCTATGATTTGGTCCTGAGATCCACAACTGCTAAACAGAGACCACAAGTAGTTCCTCACAGGTATCTGGGGATATGCAGCACTGGGGAAAGATGAAAAAGCTGGCAATACACAGCGAGTCACTGATCCAGACTCTGCTCTTATGCAAAGTGCTCTGGAAAAAGCCAGTGCACATTAGTACCTTCCTTATTTTTCCTGGGGACAGATAATCTATGTTTCCCTTCATCCCATTGTGAGCAGGATTCAATCTTGTTTGTGCTCTTCATCTGCCACCCCAGAAAGCGACAGTTATGTATTTTCCCCAGAAGAACTTCACTTCCTCTGATAAATCCGAGCAAACATCTGAATGTTGTCCTATATGTTACATGGAAGCTGCCTGGGAGCAAAATTCCTTTGAAAATGTTACCCACCAGGCCCTTTCTTAGACCCTGTAACAACTGCAGCAGTCAAGTTGCCCAGGTCTTCTGCTGGTGGCTCCTATTTTGCAGCAATACATTGGTTTCTTGTTTTCTGCTTTTATAAACTCCCAATAGCACTGGGGAAGGAAAGGTAAAAATTACAAAGACCCTTATAACCAGCCCCAATGGCACAGTCCAGGCCTTTGCGATAGGGGTAGGGATTGGAATGGGGATTGTGAAATGGAGCCCAAACTCACTTGGTCCAATTTCACAGAAGCAGATCAGGGAAAGAGTGCATGTTCCCCTTTTGGGATGGGGTCCTTATTCCTGCCTCCCCTGCCACACCACTCTCTTGCTCACTCTCCCCTCCTGCTGCTGGTTGGAGCTGTGAGCTACTTCAATTTACACTTACTGCACTGGCAGGGCTATATTACTCTGGAACAGGAAAGGAAAAGCCCCATATTAGTAAAGTGTGAAATGCAGTTTTGACTGAAAAGGGAAGCCATTTCGACAGGATTAGACCGTGACAGTGCAGATTAAAGCCCTGCCATATGGCTTGCTTTTACTTTCAGGTAACAGCGCATTGCTAATTAAGTAGTGATGACATTTCTAAATGAAAAAAGGAAAAAAGCCACCTGTATGTGAAATAAAGACAGTCAAGAGAAGGGAAGACATTAATCGGAGCTAATAATACTGGAAATCAGCCCTCTTTTATCATTGCGGTTGGCTTTAAATAGCAGAGGGAATTTGTTTGATTTGTTATTGAGTAAACAATAATTCATGTATGCACTCGGAGAGGTGAACACAGTGCTTCTGAAAGGTGCGTGACTGACAGTGCAGGAGGGCAAAGTCCAGCACTGCATCCAGGATAAAGCTGGAGAGGGCAATATCATAGAGGAGTTCCCCACCCTGCTTTACCAAGGACCTGCAAGAGGGTGATGGAGGGTTTCCCAGAGCAAGGCAAGATGCCAGCCTGCCTGCTTAAACGTCAGTTACATTTAAGCGCATGGTTCACTGTACTGGAGGTTTTAGCTTTTCCATCTCTGCTGGTGCACCAGAGAATGGTGGTATAACCAGGCAACACAAAACGTACAGTCCTTCCTACAGCCACTGCTGTGTCACTGTGGGACAGCAATAACTTCAAGACAATAAATGGTATTATATCAGACTGTTGGTCTACAAGCAACTGGTAATTAATAACCAATCCCTTGAGCCTTTCAGATGAAGAATGTTCTTCAAAGACCTGAGACTTTTACTTAGAGCTTCTAAGCAATGTCTGCATTTATTCCTCCATGCCGTACAAACTGCATTTGGAGCTGCTGACCCAAAAGGCTGAAGAACAGGCAGCAGAATGGGACACATTTTGCTTAATTGTCTTTTAGTTTTAAAGGCAAACCACATTTTAGGTTACCATAATGCACATCATGTTGGTCTGCCGGTCTGTGAACCCTGACCTAGAAAGGGCACTATCAGTGTCATATCCTTCAAGATTGAAGGTACTGCTCCCCCAGAAGAAGCAGCGCAACTTTATCTCTTCTCTCACTGTCTGTGTTGCCACTCAGATGTACACCAGTGTTTCATGTGGTTCTTACAGATTTTGCATGCTTAATGCTTTGAAGTTGGAATCGAGCATCCAGGTAAAGATCTAGAAAGATGGGTTTCCATGATGAGCCTGGCAAAACACTTTCTACTCTCAAATTTTTGCTTCTTTCTTCTCCACGTCTTCAGCCTCCAGTTTCTCATATATGGGGCTGTCACAGCTTGAGAGTTAGTCTGTGGACCAGCTTCTAGGCTAAGTTCCATTTGCAAAAGTCTTTATAAAAGCACTACCACATCCCTCACCAGCATGGTATATCAAGAACAAGTGTGGGGTGGAAGGAGACCAGGACAGACCAAGCACAAACCAAGAGGGAAAGCACAGACGTAACTTTCAGAAGCATCTCACTGCAAATACTAGTTCATAATACCCACCTGAATCCCAGATTCCTCTGGGCTTTACCAAAGGTTTGGGTTCTGCTTCTTAGGGATATGCTGGCGAGGATGGTGGCCAACTTCTCCTGCCTCTGAGGCCTGCAAGTCAAAGAGATGGGTAAAAACGTTGGCAATTGCTCCCATCTATACAGGAAGGGGGATGGTACAGATCGGCAGTATCACTGGAGGCAGTACAAAATGCTATGACAGAAGTCACGGTAAACATGAAAAGAAAAGAGGCTTCCTACCTAACCAACTTGCCATGTACTGCTGGGCAGGACACCAGCACAGAACTGATGAGCAGAAAGGGAGCATATAGAAAAAGCAGCGCTGGGCCAACATCCCTGAGACCGAGGCAGCCCCAGGAGATGATCCTATAGCAGCAAGCAGCACCCCAGGGCTCCCTCTCCTCATGTCCATGCATATGCCAGAAGAGTAATGTGTTTGTGCAAATGGCTTGTAGAGAAGGCTGGTAGGAGTGGAGACAAGCACAGCAGGGTGACGCCTTTATCCTCCATTCACCTACCTGGTCTCTTTCTGAACCCAGATGTATTTTCACCTTCTACAACATTTTGTGGCCATCACTGTGAAGGGATTTTGATGTAAAGACAAACAGAAATAAAATAGTTGCTGGCAGAAGCAGTGAGCAAACCTCCTTCTCTCCTCCCCTTCTCCAAAGTTTCTGTCAGAGGACCACCATGGCCACAGGGGCAGGTGATGAGAACAATGACAGGTCCATGAGCAGCACTCTGCTCAGACTGGGCTGTCCCTTGGCTTCTCTGCATGGCCAAATCCCGTCTTCTTGGCACATCACTTTTAGTTAGTGCTATTCCTTGCTCTCTGTGTGGGGAACTCCTACTGACCAATGGAGCATTTATAAATAGAACAATGTTTAATTAACACAACAGTAGGACAGACTTGTTGAAATACTTCCCAGACAGCAGGCAAGAGCCCTGACAAGGAGACTATTATGGGAATTTTAATGAATCCTTCCAGAGTGGGACAGCTTCCATACACCTACATTGCAATGACTAATTTTGTTTGTGAAAATTGTATTGGTAAATGATTTAGAGTGACAATAATGCTGGGGACCAGTGAACTGAATAAAGTCACTGGATGACTATGTGAAATGCTGCCTACAGGACAGAGCAGAGTGCTTACTAAATGCAATGCAGTCATAGGTCCAAGTGCCCAAAAGCCCACGTCAGACCCAGCTACAAATGTAGTTTGCATGAGGCAGGCAAAGAAGCAATTAAATAACCGAAACAAGGATCTAGCTGTGCCAGATGCCACCACAGCATGAAAAGAAGCAAGGACTGCACAGCGACTTCTGTGAGACACGACCAGGAGCATGTGCCTTATTAACACGGCTGTTAAATGCATGCCTGCTAGCTGCTGCTGCTGTAATTGAGACAACACACATATATCCTTGCCATCCCCCTGTCTAAGAAAACAGGAAATTAAAATCGGCTACCTCAGTGATGGGCCTGTGTGAGGTTCCCACCTACCATACAACAGCCTAGTCCTGCTAACAAGGATGTGTGAAACGTGAATCAAGGGGCACTGAAAGGACAAGGTTTACAATGTCACTGCATTCCCTTAAGTCCACCTCCTCCTAGCTCTGTAAACTACTCTTTATTCTCTATCAGAGACACTGTACACCATCAGTAAGCCAGTGGCTGTAAGCAGTAAGTACTAATGAGCTCAGAAGTTCAGAAACAGCCTCTTATCCTTCAAGATCTTAAGCAATGAAACTGCCAGGAAGACAGTATGCAAAGACAAATGGGTTATTCTTGAATTTGACATTTTAGCTGTGCACTGCTGTATTGTATGGACAGTAGCCAGCAAGGGATGCTCCTGCAGACCCTGTTCTTCTGACTTCATCATCATTGTACATTATGCATCTGAGGATCTAGATAGGCAGATTCAAGATATGGATTACCAAGCCAGGGAGCTTGGGGCCAATTTTCTTCTCTAGTTTTGCCATTTTGTTCCCCTTACTAGCGTATGCCATTTATTTTTTAGCTGAAAAATAAGGTGAATGCACTGATTATTAAAATAAGTTGCACTGAACTCCAAAAAAAGATGTTGGAAGTTTAGCTTTGCATGGAAGTGTGTGCTAGAATACTAATAAGCACAGGCAAATGCAGGTTTTGTTACCTTACTTCACACATACAGGAGCAAAGTAGTCTCTGTTTTTTTTTGCCCTAGACAATGACATACACAGGGCTGACTGACCAAGTCAAGAAAATTATTGCTGGAAACTTTGGTAACGCATAAGGATTTCACTGATCTGAAGTGGAACTTTGCAAAACGCTTGCCATAAGCATTGGTTTGCTGAGGAAAAGAGGTGAGCAAGGAGTGAATATGTCCTTTCTACTGCTACAGATGCTTCTGCACTTGGAGGTGCAGGTTGTGAAAACATTGATTATTTTTATCCACATGCATCTGTTGAATTCTTCCTTTTGCATAATGTGGAGCCTTGCCTGTCAGATTAACTCAGTTCTTCATGCCCAAACAAAAGCACTGGCCCCTGACAAATCCATCTACAGCACACCTAGCTCCATTGGTGGGCATATTATAAAAGGTAATGAGTTTGATACTCCCCTCAGCTCCAGCTGCCGTAGCAGTGTGTAATAAGCCCTGCTCTATGGACTCCGGCTCTCACACTAAAACGCCATTGAGAAGTGAGACAGCATGCCACTGAATTTAATTTACTGCTTAGCATCAGCTGGCCCCAGATGATGGAAGGTCATATGGATGGAGGGTCAAGTGGTATAAACAGCTCCAAATCTCCCTTCTGCCCAAGGGCTCAGAGCCAGTAAGCCCCATGGCAAGCAGGCACGGACCTGGAGGGGACGCGCTGGCTGAGCAGGCTCCACAAGTAGATTCCTTCAGAGCATCTGCTCTCCCAGATGAGGGACCCCTCCTGTTGACTGTATCCCATCAGCATTTTCACAGCAATTTCAAGAAAATCCAGTGCAATAGGCCAGGTTCCTTGGAGGAGCTAGTCTGCCGTTGTAGGTACTCCTGGTGGAGGAACTCTCCTACCTCCGTAACAACTCATCACACTGTGTTTTGCTTGTTAAGACATCAAAGATTTTTAGATCACAAAGTACCATCATTCTGTTTCAAGAAAGAGAAGGTGGAGAGAGAGTTTGAACAATCCAAAAAGAGCCAGTGCCAGGAGTTGAAGGAAAAAAAGAAGAAAATGGGGGCATGTGATGGTACCACCTTCAGTGATGTACAGCTCAAGGACATGCAGAGCCAAAGGCAGTGACACTGTAATTAATTCCTTCCAGAGGTTATTTTCTGCCATGGGTTTATATGAATATGTTGTAAGTGGCACTAATTTTGGGGGCATTTAAAACTAAGCCAAATCAACTAGAAATCTTGAAAGACTCATTTATTATAATCAACCTAAGGGTAACAGACCTGCCTCTGCTGACAACTAGTCATCCTGTGCTCCAGTGGATTATGATCCTAGGAAAGCAGTACTAAGACCCAGCAGCCTGTCAGGGAAGGGGTGTTCTTTCCTATTGGGAAGACGGGTAATGCTGTTTAAGGATTTTCCAGTCTTAAACCCAGAGATGTGACTGTCCATTAAGAAACAGTATGACCAAATTGGGGCCTCTGAAGTATGGAAATCTAGTGGGGATGGCGGGCCCAGGGCACGATGTGCTCCAGGCAATTTCTGCAGCTGCTCTTCAAAGACACAATCATTGAATCCAATGAGACCACCTGAGGAGCAGGAAGCCTTCTTGAGAGAGTAACACAGGCAGAATGAGACCCCCAGGGAGTGAAATATGGGTCTTTAAAAATCTACCTCATCGCGTGGAGGGGGGTTTCTAGCACAATGCGTATGCTTGGCTCAGCTCAGCCCATACGTGCACATGTTCCTTCCCTGCTTACAGCACACCAGGGGGTTCATGAAGGCGAAAGACACGCGTGTGGAGTGACAGGGGCCCAAAGACAGAGCTGCACAGCTACATGCCCATGTGGGCAGGCTGTGCAGCACAAAGCCAGGTCCCATCGCTTTTCCTGCATACTGGCACTGCATGGACCGACTGTGGGTTTATGCCCCAAATGTTTCTCTTTCTTTAGATATTGCCACCTCTGCCAGCACGGACAAAGACCTGTTTGTGAGGCTGCGCTCCTTTTCTGTGGGGATGACAGGTGGGAACTGAGGTCTGATATAAATATACCCTGGTCTGAAGTGGGTCGCGCATGGGATCTCGTCTAATTTTCCACCCTGAAAAAACGCAATTTTACTTTGCTCGAAACTTTCTCTGAAGAGAATGAGCTCAATTAAGAAAACCACAACAACACAACTTTTAAAAAATACCGTCCTTATTGTCCATGTGGGTTTTGGGTGGGCTGTGGAAATTGATTTACGAGTCAACCACTTTTCTCTTTTCTTGCCATCTCTCGCTTGAGTGGTTTGTAGGCCTTGGCCCTTTCTTTCACTCAAGGAGAATAAGGTTGTCTATGGAAGAGGTCAGCATTTCAAATTGGTGGAGTTCAACTGCACAAATGACATAGAAGTGACAAGAAAAGACAGGGAGTTTGGAGGTCATAGACTGCATAGCTCCTGGTTAGGGTTTTCGCTTTGTGATGGGACCTGGCACCAAAATGAATTAAATAACAGGCTTAAAGACTATTGAGGGAGGGCTGAATGCAAATCAAAGATAAGTAGAAGTTTTCTTTCCTAAAAGGGGAATAATTTTTTTCCTTACCTCCCCCTTTCCATATCTGCACAGGCAAGGTCTGCATGTTAAACATGATTTAGCAGGCATTATTCTGGAGCCTTTTCATCAGGTTTCTGCAGTGATTGCCTATCTTGGCCTATGATTAATGATCTGCTGTGCAATTTGGAGGCTATAATGACTCAACAATCCACACACAAACTATATAGTCGCATTCCTTTTGCAGATTTGCCAAGCTGTTACCAAGGGGCCCACAACCAAGCAGGATTGTTAGAGAGATAGCTAAACATTTCTGCAAATGCCATTCTGTCCTTATCTTGCTGAGAAGTGCGTTGGGCAGCAGGCTCATTTACAAAATTCAAAGCCTAGATTTCAGCGGTTTCTTAAAAAAAAAAAAGAAAAAAATCTGGACTGAAATAATCATTAAAAAGGCTGGTAAGAAAAGATCCTGGTATATGGCCCCTCAGTGATTATACAGACAAAATACTTTCTTTGTTTCCAAATTTTGAATCTGATTAATTGAGGCCTAATGCTATTAATGCAGCTTGAAAAAGAAAAGTTAATCTTTGGAAAACCAAGCCATAAATGAAATCTGAAAATCTAAGCAGATTTTGAAGCAAAAGCTTTGTCTTCATTTCAATTTCTATACAGGAATAGGTTATGATGATTTATTTATAGATTTCAACTGGATCAGTATCTGGGTAAAAAGTGTCTGTAGAATAACTGCTCTATAAAGTTCTTTTGTTCAAAAAATGGATCCTGATGAGAGTCATCTTGGAAAATCAATACTTCCTGTTTGTGAGGCTGCTTTCAATAAAAGTAAATGTAAACAGGAAAAGCAAGGACAGAGCAACAGATGAAATCCATCTTTCAGAAGGATGTCAGTTATCATATGAAAAAAATAAATAGAGAATAATCAATACATGTTTCTGCTTCCATTATTAGTTGTTAGATACAGCCCAAATAATTCAGTCATAATTGAAAGATTTCTGGTGTTAGTTCACTGAAGTCACATTCACTTTAATGATTCATCCAATCTTGGTTTCCTTTCTGCCTGTCTTGAGGGGCACATAGCTGGGAACTGGAAGGGCGTATACCAGATCCATCCTATACGTATTATTATTATTATCACTATTA